AAATCGTGTCCGAAAAGCCGTTTTCCACTCATCACCTTCCTTAATGCGCAACTTATGAAACGCAGCTCGTACGTCTAACTTTGTGAACCATTTAGCTCTGCTCAGTTTAGCAAGCGTTTCTTTAATTAAAGGCAAAGGATAGCGGTCAGCTTTTGAAATGGAATTCAAAGCACGATAATCAACACAAAATCGAAGACCCCCACCTGGTTTCCGAACAAAAAGTACTGGGGCCCCTGCTGGTGAACTACTGGCGCGAATATAATCCTTGTCAAGTAATTCTGTCAGGGTCTTCCTCAGTACCAACAATTCATCCCTTGACATTCCATATAGGGGGCCCCATGGTATTTTTTTATCAGGTTCAAGGCTAATTTCGTGATCGCACCCTTTCCGATGAGGTGGGAGTTTATCCGTTGATTCTTTGCGAAAAAGGTCTGAATATTTCTCATATTGCGTAGGAAGCCTTTCCAAGTTTGTAGGTGATTTCTTCGATGGTGCAAGCGCTTTCTGAATGTCTGCAAGTGTTACAGAAAATAATTGGGTGGCGCTCGTTGATTTCCTGGCTTTCCTAACTGTTGCAAGGAACACACCTGCAGACAAACTTCTGATATTCGACCCTAGCTGTAGTGCATTTATCTTCGTTTGTAGACCTTTCTCCCAAACCCTGAGTGGCTGACCGTTCACAACAGCTTCCCTGATGTCCATGAAATGATCCTTTGCATTGTAAATAACATCTTCCCGTTCCATCCATGGTTTTCCAAGTATCAGGTCATGAGACAGCCCTGATATTACATAAGCAGACAAGGTACGTTGGTATCCGTCTATATCAAGTTCCATTTTAACCATTTCCGTGATAAGATCTTTGTGGTGGCGGTTTTGTGTAGCTTCGGTAAGCTTACGGGGACTTATTTTTGTCCGAGGAAGTTTGGCTTTGCGTACTAGGGAGTTACTAACGGCAGCTAGGCATTCGCATCCATTGTCAATCAAGGTAGGTACTGAATAACTTCCATTAATTAATGTGTCTATTATAAAAGATGATCCATTCATTGTGTACTCTACGTCGGTATCTTCAATCTGATTTGAGCCAACTACCATATTAGAAACTCCCTTTCCAGGCTCCTGAACACGACTTTGTTCAGGAGCTAACCTTTTAACTCACTTCCCACCACATTGAATTCTTCGGTACTTGCATCATTTTCTACAGAAGTGAAAGCTTGAACTGTGGTTTCGGGGCGTTTAGCTGGGAGTAGATGACAGTTGGCTATTATGTGCCCTATCCTTCCACATCGCAGACATACGCCATCTGCTTTCTGTTTGTTTAACTCAGTTTGTGAAACCCACTTTGCATAGACTTTGTTGACACTGGTCATCCTTGTGTCCCCGTCTAAATCCTTGTTATTGGCGACATCTCTGTTTGCTGGGTGATAAGAGGTTCCTTGCAAGGTTCCTCCGAGTAGTTTACCACCAGCAATTCCTCGTATTCCATCATCAAAATACCCAGCCTGACCAAGTAAGTATTCTTTTGTTCTTGTCATACCAACCTCCTCAATTTCCGAACCTAGTGAAGACAGATATTCAACGAGTTCACGAAAGGTTTGTGGTTACGAGCGACCAATCATGTGATTTCTTGTGGTTTTATTGAGCGAATTCCGAAGCTGGTACATCTTAATCTTATCATCTCCCGTAGAGCTGGGGCTTCGCGTGAGTAATTGCTGAAAACGCGGTAGGTACGACGACAAGCTCTCATCCCTGAATTGTCGGCATGCATGAAATAGCGCAGCCGCCGATTGTTCTTCGTTTCTATCGCGATAGGTGTCGTCCATGGCCTGTAATAATCCCAAAGCGTCCCATATTGCATCAATTGCAAGCATGTGTTGAAATTGGCCGGTGATCATGTCCTTGACAGTCCCTGTCACCGCGTGGCTATACAGCTGTATGAAGAAATCTGATGGTTGCAAGATGTGTCGTTCCTCTACATTGCGCCGGTAAATATATCGAAGTATTCCGTGTGTGGTTGCCCATTTGCTCCTATCCTTATGATCGTAGGCTTCCGGCCACTTAAGTGGGTTTTCCTTGCCGGAGAGCTCCCTTCGTTCGGGTTGATGATTGTCATTAGCTTTAGTTGGTTTCAGGGGTACCTGGCCTTCACCCTTTGATTTTTCCTGCATCAGTAGCATCATCTGACTCATTTGAGATTGTAACATCTCCATTTCCCTCCTATGATCCATGTCTCTTCTCCCCATCTCCTCGACTATCGTCTCCATGTCCATTCGTGGTTTTTCTTGTGGCGTTGATTCCTGGTCAGACAAACCAGATGCTACTAAGTCCGTTCCGATGTTAAGTCTATCCATATCTGGACCCGTTACCAGTTCTTCAAATCCCTGCGCTGATTTGAATGAGATCCAACTTTGACGACTTGATCGTCCAGAGCTAGATGCCTCGTCTGTTGATGTTGATGGTCGAGCAAACGTTGGCATCAACTTCCTGTACAACCTCAACTTGATTAAGGTGCTTACTGATAAACACCTTTGATTATAGGATGCCCTAAGTCACTGTCAACTAGGACTGCGGTATACTTAATGACGGGCAAACGATGAATTGCTACAGTTTATATTGTGACGGGAACCCCGAGTTGGTGATGATAATGTCGATTTCATAAACTGTATAAAGAAGAAAGAGAAATCTAGCTACAACTAACGGGTATTTATAATATTCAGCCTCTCAGTGATTGTCTTGACTGATTTCTTCACCCTAGGCCGAATACTTGCCACCCAGCCACATATTATCAAGAATCACTACGCTGTGACACTGATCTGGCCCCTTGGCTGGTAGTGCCGTATCTTCCAGTTTCCTCTATCATTTCCTTACAGTCTTACAACATGAATCTTCAACAATACGCTTAGGTATCCACATAAGCTCAGACAACGGCCAAACTGTAACAGGAATATTGGAATCTATTAAGGAAATATTGACCCCTCAGTCATTGAGGTTGTAGAGAGCATTGATTCAAGTAACTACCGAAGTGAAACTAAGTACATAATTTGTAGTCACGTGTGTACCAACAACGTGGCGTGCTTGATTGTCAGGATCTCTTGGGACTTGGTTAATTAACTTGAACTGGAGGCGCTAAATCTTGGGCTAATGATGGTAAAGAAAATATAACAACAATAAAGACTTGGTTCTTGATTCTTGATTGTTGGGTATCTAGGGAATAGTACAAGAATGAAAGCTGAAGAGCTTTCGACATGAAGATACCTCAGCTACTAATACTACAACACTATCTGCTACAGACTACAGTAATCTAGTTCCAGCCCGATTCCTGTCAAACTCCTGAGAGTAACCTAGAATCTCATCGAAGCCCATTGAACTGGTAAGAGTACAAAATACCATCCCGAAACATGTAGAAACCAATTGCCACAGTAGCTTAGAATTCCATCGAAGTAACTAGAACTTGTCTAGAGGGATACCAGCCGAAGCTAGGATCATACTCTACCTCAACACCATGAATCTATCCATGACATAGCAGTAGCCATATAGTCTTAGAGCCAGAGGTTGGCAGGATAATATCTCCACCCCAGTCAGTCTGTGACATTGATAGCCCCAATTATTCTAAATTCTAACACTCCCCCATAGACTAATTGGGCGTATTCATTGTCTTCCTGTATCTTTGCCTCGTTGGACGTTTACTTGAATGATTAGTTGTCTGCTCCCAAACTGGTCTTTAGATTTTCGATGAATCAATCCAAGTAATGTGTTGCCGGATCAATTGGTGTTGGTATACAGCAGAGCAAGTCCAGAATAAATCAATTAATTGATGAAATCTAGAGAAAGAAGAGTTTCTACTTCTTGCTGTATAAATAGGGAAGTGTAATTGTCAGCGCCGATCATAACAATCTATGTTGCTAAGCAGCCATATCCATGAGGATGAGGTTTCTGGGCGCGCATTGTGTACCTAGTAAATTGCGGTTGTGTGTGCACAAGAATGAAATGTTATCACGTGGTGTCTCATGGCTCCTAACTACATTGGATTTTGTGTAGAGCTTGAGACTAATACGTGAATTCCTATCTGTCCCTAATTGTAGGATATCTATGCGCCTATATACCTCAATGCTCTGTTACCCCTCAGCTCCAGTGAGATCTGCTCTTGTGACTGTGCGATCTGATTGTGTGAGACCATAAGACACTAGCATTTTGTCTATGTGCCGTACATCCAAAATCTGACTAGCCCGTGACAATGTAGATCTTTTCAGGATCCACAAGGATCCAGGATCATAAATATTGTATTATAATTTGTCACATGTACCCCAGTTTTTATGCATAATGCACACCAAGCTAGAAACCTGTATATACTAGATACATCCTGTAATTTTAGAGGGGGAGTAACACACCGTCTTAAGATTTCACTATATGGAAGATATAGTAGAAATGCCGAGACATGGTGACCTACAATTTCCGCATATTCACACTTTATCACCCTACCATCCTATGGACTTAAAACCTCATCCAGACCGCAACGTTGGTAGCCCCTGTAGCTGGCTAGGCCCTATATTCCATACCTACCGTACTGGCGCAGACAGTACAAACACAAGGGATTAACCCCGTAACACAATGTATCCATTGGAATTGATTCATTCCCTCTCATTTTTTCACGGAATAATAACAGGGGTTAGAATGATGGTTTACTATTAGCATACAAATCTAGCAGGCCTAAGTATGGAAAGGTAACGTAACAGTGAACTACGAGCATGCACATAATAAAGCGTAGCCTCCAGTCGAGTTGCCTTCTTCACGCAACGTCTTCTCAATATTATTCTCAATCTAGATATTCCATCTCTTCCTTATGAAGACCACTTCGAGCCCGTACTCGTATCAGATCACGACGTGCCCTCTATCTCTTCTTGTGGAAGACCTTGACCCCCTATCTACTCACACTTGTACCCTGTGGACAAATAGCATACACACTCCTCGAGAAATTTTCCCCCACGTACACCGTAGATTCCTAAGCTTTTCCAGAGTCACCTTTCAATTACATATCGTTAACTTCAAAGGCTCCCCCAGATTTGGCATCTAAGCGTCAGCCTTTTTCAGCTCTCAAATATACTCCTCCAGTTTCCGTGCTGCGGTTGTTCCGGTATTTATTCCATCTGAATCACTAGTGTTCCATTGTCTTGTTTCCCTCTACAAGCAACATGCCCCACTAGTGTATCCCTTCCAAAGACTTTTATCCAAGAGCGTACCATGTGACAGCTCTCTCATACCATCACAAAGCTCCACTTGGTTTTCTTTCTATCTTGCTTCGGTATTTTTGTCACGCATTATTCTTCTACTTTTTGACTTAATCTCAACCACAACAATATAAACTTAAACGAAGATAGCCGTTGAGAGGGTGTTAATTTTGAAGCCTGAGGTGTTGTGCTGGCTCGGTTGAGTTGTTAGGAGACAGGGGAACAGAGGATGGGCTGCTGGATTAGGAAAGGGTGGAAAATACAGGCTGGTGCACAGACGCTGTTCATGTACTCTACAATCTCTTCACCTGCCGAGTTTAGTGAATTAATCTATCCAATATAATATCATACTTCACATCATCCATTAGATGATATTATCAATTGTCGGGATGCACATCTAGCATCATCTTCATAGATCACCATTGTCAGTAAGAGTTCACATTTGATACCTACTGACACCCATTTCGCCACAGTGATACGCACTCAGTGTCCATTGTGCCATCACCCAGCGTGAGCGCGCCATCTCCGCGACTCACCACTGCACATGAGCCCGTGTAACTCCACCGACGGACAGCAGAGTCATAATTGCCATATAACTCACAGCTCATAACCACAACATGAGGCTATTGTGTTGGAAATTCCGACTCTCGAATTTAGGACTCTATCATTACCTGTTTCGTCTCAGGTTCCCAACAAGATCGACTCTCTCTACAAATGTCCTGAGTACGCTAATCGCGCCTACTGTCGCCTATACGTTTGGATATTTACGTACTACAGTGTACCTTGGCTCATCATGGTAGATGAGAGGTGGCTGGTCATCACTAGGTTTGACAGGTACATGAGACTAGCGGGAATTTCTCCCTTAGATGTATATATAAGTCCAATGTTCCCATAGTTGTAAAATATCAAGTCTTCTTTACTTCATCATATTTATCCATATAATATCGTACAGAGTGTATTTTCCAACATATTGTAGAGACTTTTTGTTGTCAAATGACTTGACGAAGTTCCCTCTGCTTAGATAATGGCAAAGACTTTATTAAGGGAAGTCTTTAGAGTATAAATAGCAGTTTTTTGAAGAGGAGCTACTGAGTTGAGGTTCGAACTGCTATTGGAAATCAGCAGCGAAATTTTTGCGACAGCTTTCGAATAGAAGCTGTCAGGTTGGGAATTTGACAAGCTTCGAAAAGAGTGTCGAACAATTCTAATTGTGGCAGCTGTCGAAAAGTAGCTGTCAGATTTTAATGCTGGGAGCAGCTTTCGTACTGTAGCTGCCAGTTTGTGTTCTCATGTTTTTGTAATTTTTGGGTCGACTCATTTGACCCATGGACTCTCTCCCTTAAAGTCCATCGACGGGCTGGCTACCAGTGCGTTTAGGAAGCATCAATACTCACAAGTGTTTCTCAGCGACCCCGATCTTTTTTTTTGCATCAGATTTTAATTGCTTATGCAGCTATCTAGCTATGACACAATATCAAAGAAAGGTACAGAAAAGATGACTTAATTTACAATTGGAGCACTCATGCCTCGGATTTCATTTGCAAGTACCACTGCGAAGTTATGGTAGCTTTTTCTTCACCCCAAGTCAACCCTCATCCGTGAATACCCACCCAGGGGAACATCTCAAAAACTCTGAGTCATCCAGACATGCCTCCGTCATCTATCAAATTTTCTCCGCGCGATATGTCTCAGGGATGAGGGTTTGACAGTGTTCCACGGGGTGCGTTGTATAGCCTAGTGAAGATCTAGGTGGTAAGTGAAGATTATAAATGGGTCAAAGGGATGACAGGTCTCCTCTAGGAAGAGATGAATGGGCAACTAGTTGCAGTAGATGTTACACGTGGGCCTTGCTGATGAAGAACTGGGCAATGGATATTTGGTCTTCCCGAAGAAGAGATGGGTGAACAAATGTATTGTAAATGGTAGATAAAGAAGACGTTGCGTGAGGAGTAAATCTCTCTCACGCCGAACTATTATATACAAGAGTAGAAGCCTTTGCCAATCGGAATTAATCGTAATCAATTCTTGCCAATATCTTCGCATTAATGGCTGTGTTCTTGTCCTTCTCTTCATGACTCTTGCATATCCTTACATGACTTTTTACAAGACTAATTGTATAGGGGAATCTATTACTAAATTGATGTCTTTAATTAACTACCCCTTCATCTTATCACGAATTAAAATTAGTATTAAAATTCTAATTATGGATTCGTGAAAATATGTGATCTGAGGTGTCTCCTTCCCAAGTGGAGTGGGTGCCCAGGCTACTCAAACCATACCAGAGATCACCACCAGGAGGCGGATCACAACACCTTCCATTGTTGGCTTGTATTTATAATGTCAGCTGCACTCTAGCGACCCCAATCTTTAGTACTCGACCTGTGCTTTCCCTAACGAAGGCAATAACCTCCTGTCTTCTCAGGCGACGACCGTTCAGTTTTCTTTAGAGATTGCAACTCAAAAGCGATGGCCTTATCTTGGGTACAAGAAGGTGACGGCCTCCTAGTTGGATTGATTTGGCGCAAGTAGAGCATATGCTGTTAAGGTTATGAGTTAATTGGGAACATAGTTATTTGGAATATGTCATGATGTTTGTTCAGATGGTTTGATACTTGGTAACTTGATTGCTGGCAGGTGTCCGATGCTTCCCGATGCTGTTCATGAGACAGAACATAGACTACTTATATACTCTAATATGACCCTTGTCATTGTCTACGCTCTCTCCTGACTTACTGCCAACAGCGTGCCTAGGTAAAACTCTGCAGCTCATGAGTCCATCTCTCATGAGAGGCATCTGCTGTTCCGGTGGCTGGCGCGCACGGTCCGAGCACGCGTCGCTGCAATGCCTCAATCACTTACGTGTAATATCCCAGCTGAGCAATCCTGAACCTAGCTGTTCAGGAACAACAGCAATCCAGTCCATGGTTCGCGCCTGTGGCTTGTATACACACCACAGCGTCGCTCCAATCGTTCCCATACAATGTCTCAGCTCCGCAGTCCTTAGTCCATTACTCAGGAGCGGGAGCAGTTATATAGTTCCAATAATGCGCTAGGTCTGCATGTACCTCTGAGCGCTATCCTGTAGTTGCCCGGCGATACCTAACCGCTCACGGCTAGCATGTGTGACCAATAGACTCATCGCGACGCTGCCCCAATCATTGCCCTGCAATGAATCAGCCTGGCGCTCATGAGTCCACTACTCAGGAGCGGAAGCAGTTGTATGGTTCCGGTAGCGTGCGAGGTCTGCATATACCTCAGGGCGCTATTCCGTAATTGTCTGGCAATGTCTAACCGCTTATGGCTAGCGCACGTGGTTGGTAGACCCTTCACGTCGCTACCCCAACTGTTGCCTTGCAATGACTCAACCCGGCGCTCCCAAGTTCTCTAGGAGCCGTGTTATTAGTATTCCGTAGGGTACGAATTTGGTACAAGTAGGTTACAGGTGTGGAGTATGGTGGTGATTCCTAAGAGTAGGAGGTATAAATCCAGCGTTAGGTATAGGGTTCACATAAGAAGTAAAGATAAAATGAGTAGTAGGTGAGAAGGGTACAATAACGGCGGTCTTCTTTAGAGAAGAGATAAGTAAGTGAACAATAGGTATGAGTATAAACAGAAGACGTTGCGTGAAGAAGAATACTCCTTCACGCTGGGTATATATGTACATCAGATAATAGGACAGCCCTAAGCTCTGTCTCAAACAGTATTACTACGCAATCCCTATGAAACGACCCTATGTTCCTGAGCCTGTCTTAATTGTTTGAGAACTTGATCTAACCCCGAGTTGTGTTTTAGAATGGAACTCCCCATGAGACACCATTCTAGTTTCCGCCACGTTTATCAATGAAACAAGTCCGAGACTCAGGAGCGGCAGCGGTTGTATCCATGGTCAACGCACGACTTGCATATGCACCTGTCGGCGTAGAGACGATCATTGACAAGTGATATCACAACATATGCCCTTCTACTTGCCCATAACAAAGATAGTATCAGACTCCGGGCATTACAAAGTGATTGCGCAAGCAACAATCCGGGCTCACAACCTATCAAGGAAATATTGACCCCTCAGTCATTGAGGTTGTAGAGTGCATTGATTCAAGTAACTACCGAAGTGAAACTAAGTAAAGATTTGTAGTCACGTGTAGATCAGCAACGTGGCATGCTTGATAGCCCCAATTATTCTAAATTCTAACAGAATCATGTGTGTGTGTGTGTTTTATTGTACTACTTGAGTCTATGACTATCTAGCACATTGGGCTCCTCTCTGACCCAGGCCACACCTTGTACAGTGCTCCTATCCTCTTTTGTTACTTGAAAGATCATTGATATATTCCCCTTGATGAATAGCCATTCAGCTCAGTATTTACCCGTGGAATTCAGTCACCTTTTCCACGGAACCTTCTACCCAAAAAAAATAAAAATGGTAGCAATGGGAACTGCGTGCGCGGGAAAAAGTCTCAAAAAACCTGCAGCCCCAGCCAGGCGAGGCCTAGACACCGGGACCACATGAGGTGCGCATATTCATCTATATCTCCCTTCTTTGTAACAGTCGAGGTCGACTTGATCCAATCCACCATCTCCGTATCGGGTGCTGGGTACGCTCCGGAAACTCATCGGATGGCTTTTCCTCCATGATCAAGGGTGGGTGACGAGTAGGGCTCCGACCCTACCATCTGATCTGATCGTGGTTAGCTTCATGATAGTGGTGATAGGGGGATGTGTTGAGAGATGAAGACGATACAGACCGCGAAAGCGATTGGGAATCCTCTTCGAAGTGAGGACTTTGTTACTCAATCTCGGCTCTGCAGACTCTACAGTGAGAGCTGAAGGTTCGTAGGGGACACCACTGACAGGTGTTGAGAATAGTCACCCTACAGAATCATGTATATACATTGGGCGTTAGATTTTGCATAACTTTTGTTCTTCAGACAATA